ACTCCCAGAATTCCCCAGCCAGCATTTGCTGGCTGGGGAATTCTGGGAGTTGAAGTCCGGACATCTTCAAGTTGCCAAGGTTGAGAAACACTGTTATAGACCAATATCACTACTAAATGTGGACTACCGAAAACCCTGAAAAGATTTTCTCGCACGCACAAAAAGCCTTTGACAACATGGATTGATAGTTCATGATATTGCAACTAAAAATTATGAATTTTGGAGATAACTTTGTAAAGATGGTCCAAATAATAAATTCCAATCAAACAGTGAATGGGATAATAAATGGAGAAATAACAGGAAAATTTAACATAAATAAGGGCGTAAGACAAGGATGTCCCCTATTGCCTCTACTATTCATATTAACTCTAGAAATCCTACTTAAACAGGCCAGACAAGACCAGGAAATAAAAGGGCTGAAGATAAAAAAAAGAACAATACAAAGGACAAGCATTTTTTTGATGATTTGGTATTTATTGTGCAGGAAACACTAGAAAAAGAACTCAAATTGTTAAAAAAAAAATAGAAGAGTTTGGCACAGTGGCAGGACTTAAAATAAACAAGGAAAAGACCAAGATACCGACAGAGAATCTTACAAGTAAACAGAAAAATGAATTGATGGAAAAGATGGGCATGCAGTTAATTAAAAAAGTTAAATATTTGGGAATCTGGCTAACAGCAAGATGTATATCATTCAAAGAAGATAACTATAATAAATGAATGCAGCAAATAAAGATGGATTTGGACACATGGAAATATTTACAACTCTTGCCGATTGGAAGAATAGCTGCAATTAAAATGAATATTCTACTGAAAATTTTATTCCTGTTCCAAATAATGCCGATAAAATTAGGGAAAAACTTTTTTGAAGAACTAAACAGATTAGATAAAATTTATCTGGCAAGGGAAAAAAACCAAGAATCAAATTAAAAATGCTACAGGACAGAAAAAATAAGGGTGCATTGGGGTTCCCAGACTGGGAGTTGTACTATCGAGCATCAGTACTTACATGGATAAAGGAGTGGATAAATTTAAAGAATAAAAGGGTGTTGGCGATAGAAGGACATGACCTATAATTGTGATGTCACACATTTATATAGGATGGGGAAAAAACAAAGCACACAGCTACTTTCAAAAACACCAGGTTAGGAATGCTCTGTTGCTAATATAGGGAAAAATGAAACAGAATCACTATAGGAAAATAATAGTCTGGCTATCCACAATGGAAGCACTAATATATCCAAAGGTGTTAGACCTGGATAAGATAGTAAGATATAAAGATATACTGTATGAACAAGGGAAATTCAAAACAAAACAGGAAGTAAAAAATTAGGGAATCAATTTGGATTGGTGGCCGTATATACCAATGCAGATGAGATATAAGAAAGCACCAGAAAAATATGGATTTTATAGTGAACCACAAGAATCGAATAAGCTACTACAGGGGAGAGGTGAAAAATTGATAGAGAAGTTTTATAACTACCTATTGAGCTTTAAAATGGAAGAAGAATTAGTAAAGGAAACTATGATAACATGGGTAAAAAACTTTGGGTACGCTATCGAACTAGATAATTGGCAAAAACTGTGGGAAAGAAATAATAGATTAACAATCAGGTAAAGAAAATCTGTACAGAATGTTCTATAGATGGCATCTGCCGCCAGCAAGATTGGCAAAAATGCTTCCAAATATGTCACCAAAAATCTTATTATCACATGTGGTGGACCTGTCCATTGGCCAAAAAATATTGGGCAAACATAAACAAAAGTGGTTAGAGGAGATGGTGAAATAACAAATAGACCTAAAACCAGAACTATTTTTATTGGGAATACTAACAGGTAAATATAATAAAAGAATTCAATATTTAATGTTACACGTAATAACAGTGGCTAGAATCATGTATGCACAAAATTGGCAAAACGGAAGCGGGTCCACCATAAATGCGCGTATGATAAAAGCGCGTGTGACTAAAGCGCGGTGACAAAACTGCGCCGTCAAAACCGCGGAGAGGAATGAGCGCTGAAGCGCGCCGACAACAGCATGCCGACAGAAGCGCGCTGTAACATAACCCTAAAAATAACCCTAAACCTAACCCTAAACCTAACCCTAAACCTAACCCTAAACCTAACCC